CAAGCTCTGACATGCTCCAGGTAGTCCAGACACAGGAAATGTTTACCAGGTAAAATCACATATCTGAAAGAGTCCTAATCACCCGAGTGTCTCTTCAGATCAACAGAGCCTCAGAGGAAAATGTGTGTGAGAGAGAAAGAGAGCTGACAAAGACCTGAGCTTTGACTTCGTTCATTCAAAGCTTGGAGCCCAGTCTGCGTGTCTCTCCACAAAATCATACTATTTAGGCTATAGTTTAACTCAGTCTACAGTTGGATTCAGTTTATATTGAGTTTCCCCTCAAATTTCTACTCTCAGACTGATAAAATATAATTAGTGGAGCCCAGTAAGATAATTTTCCTCAAACCCAATGTTTTATTGTTCCTCTCTCACAGTGCTCAGGCTTAATCCGCTTTCACGCTGTCCTATCTCACACACACATTTAACTCTCTTTTCATTAATCGAGAAAAGATTTGATAGACAATTTAAAGAGATACTTCAGCCAAAAAAGACTATTATCATTGTTTACTCGCATTTTATGTTGTTCCAAACCCCTATGATTTACTTTCTTCTTTGGAACACAAAAGGAGAACTATTCTAAATGGAGGATTGTTTTGAAAAAATTAAAATAAATAAATATTTTATATTAATTGACATAGGGACTGTCAATTTCCAAATAAATAAATAAATGCATAAATAAATAAAATAATGGACATAGGGAATGTCAAACTCCAAATAAATACATAATAATAAAAATAATTTAAAAAACAACAACGTTAGTCCTGTATGTCAGGAATAAAAAAACTGTACCTCTGTCATAGTCTTAGTCTTATTTGCCCTCATGTCTAGGTTTTTCACTCTATGATGTTCCATTAATGAAAATAAGTCATAATGTATGGTTTTGGAGTGACATTATAGTCATTAAATGATGACATTTTGGACTGAAGTGTAACTTTTAGGTAAACTGTGAATAAAATTAAATCAAATTTATACAATTATAATTTAATTGGGAATAGTTCAAATTTAGTAGTTCACCATAATCAGTCTGAATTTCTGTGTTTGTGGCTGAACAAAAAAATAGATTAATAAATAAAACAGAAGTAGTGCCACCCAGGTTTTCTTTCCGTATGCTCTCACTTTCTCAGCTGTGGCCTAGTTCACTGAATTGAATGTTATGTTTAATGAGTTTCATATGTTGACTAAAGTCAGGTGTGCAGTTTTCTTTTTCTTTGTCTTTTATGTAGGGATGCACGATATTGGATTTTTGCCGATATATGATATCCCGATATTTTTCACCTCGTTTTGCCCGATACCGATATATTTCCTTTTGTTTGGAAACAACACCAAAGTCTCTCCTGTGCAGACATTATAAGCAAAATATTTTTAATTTTGGTTAGTTTTTAACAATAACTTATTTGTTAGAATTAAATAAACAATAATGAAGGTTTTTTTGACAGTACATTGAAGCTTTGAAAATAGCTATAAATAAACTATATATCAATCGCTGCATTTTCCCCCCAGAAAGATGCAGTGTTAACCCTAACATTTTATTTTAAGATTTAACATTTGTAGATGGTTTAAAGCAAAAGAGTTGTACAAATTCTGAAAATCTTTTAGAGCTTATGATTTGTTTAAAAAAAAAAAAAAAAACATATTACGCATTAATGAATAAATCAGTATACATAAAATTATTTAATTTACAAGTGTCATGCTTCAGATTTTTCTTTCATGTAAGCTATAGCTTCTGACCTTTAAATCAAAAC